GTGCCGATGGCAATTAGTGGTTTTATTGATGTATTATGAATATCGGTATCTTTATTGAATTCAATTTAGAAGACATTAGCACTACAGATGAGTTCAACAGTGCATTAGACTTAGGAATACAAGACTTGAGAAATATTTGAGTTTTTGATGAAAATCTATAAATTAGAGAGTTTATATAGAAATAAACTGATAGTATATCAGTAAAACAATGCGTGACAAGAGATGATATGCTGAATTCATTTAGTAATATATTGTGGCCAAAGTTATGTTTGGGGTAAATTTTGTCCGTTCTGAAATGTAGATAGGAGTTATTACTAAGATGAGGATACCAAATAATCTTACAAGTGTTGGTGCCACAAATATACCTAGTTTCCCGTCTGCCGCCTTGTACTTTTCGGTTAGAACATACCGCACAGTATTTTTTCTTGTCATCATTTTAGCGTGAGATATGCAATTTAGTAAATTAAAACTGAGTTTACCATTTAGTCTTTTCTTTGTATCTACAGATAATGGCTTGCAATGGAGTTTGGAAAGCTGCCGAACTTTATTAGGTATATAATTGGTTTATTGTTCTTGCCCCATTGTGATACTTTATATAATAAATATGCAATGACACTGAACATTTAGATTCCTCAGGAAAATACTTTCATAAACTTCTTCAAAAACAGTGCAGTGCTGAATAAGAGTGTGCGCTGTCAACACCTCCATTAATTTATTATAGTTGACAATAACATTTGGTTTATTCACAACTTGCAAATTACCTACACGTATTTTTCTGTTGATAGGCTGTGTTTCTAAAATATTCCACGAAGTGAGCGTTGTAACAACCATTTCATCTTTTTATTTTTTTTTTATGCAATCGGATATAAATTTGAAGAGTTTGGAGACGCAAATAATTTAATTTAGGTACTCTAGTATTAATAAATAAGTCTTTTCACTATTTATATCAATGTATTCACTTTGAGTCATATTTCAATTTGAGTTTCTTTCATTTGATATTCTATGGCTTATGTACGTTGTTCTGAAAAGTTATTGTGTTTCTTGAGACGTCTGAGGAGAAAGCGGAGGCTTGCTTGAGAAATAGAAAGTGGGGAAATTACTAGGTTCTATGTGGGTTTCTTATCTAATATTTTAGTCATTGAGCGACTAGATGGCATAACACCATACCCCTTAATTAGATTGTAGTGCTACAACTTGTTAAAGAACTATAATTTAAATCCCAAAATTCTTTGATTGATTAGGTATACAATTTTTCTGTTATTGATGGTGTACAATTCTAAACTTAATCAACAAAGTATTTATTCTCTTAAATTTGTTCCCTGGTTTGTTAAAATTTTGCAGGGTATGCTATAGTGGCAAACAATTCCCCCTGCAAAAGCCCTAGATACTGTTTCAGCGTCCTGGTTCTGTAAGTGTACTGCCCTTAGAGAATCAGACTTTATATTTTACATGGCTCACACCTCAAGCGTGTTGAAGTGCATATTCGCTCGGTAATATTCTCAGGCAGTAGTGTTCTACTTCTTGCTTGGCTGCTATGTATATCTCTCTGTCTTGTGTGTAGTAAATGACTACACAATCTGCGATTTCTTTGATAAAAAACTTCCGTTTCGTATTGTAACACATATTTGATGGCTTTGTCTATTCTTTTAGAATATTTACCCTTACTACATCAATCTACTTTTAAACTGATTGTGAAAGCTTTCCAAAAACATATTAGTGTTGATGCCCAAACCTTTCCGAAAACAATACGCTTAGGTCTTTGTGCGCTTACAATAAGTCTTCCTAAAATATTTTGCAAACGACTATGTATTTGCATCCCTTTCAAGTTCCTTCAGATATTCACTTGAACATCTTGAGAATGTCTCTTCATTTAGAATCATTTTAATGTCGATCAATTTGTCGTAAAGTTGTCTGTTTCTCTCTTTTTTTAATCTTATTCCCACAGCTTCTGAAATTTGTTGAAAAAAATTTGAAGAACTATTTCATCTTGTCTGTTCGAAAAGCAAAAGGCAACAGGAATCCCACTCCCAAATTCGTCAAAAAACTAGTGGTGTATGGCATCGTGCCTTAAGGCAAATTGCTAGAACTTCCCGTACCGTAACGAAATGTTCGAGAAATATTAAATGTTTTCAAATAGAATATTATAAATATTGTAACACTGTCTATTATTTATAAGAATTATACAAACGGAATTGCAAAGTTGAAATTATTTGTAAAGTATATTAGAACTATAGTCAGAATTCAAATTAGAACCTGAAGTATTTACGATGTACGAAAAAAATTTTTTTATGAAAAACTTGAAACAATTTTTTTTCAAAAAACAATTATTTTGTTAAAAAAGCAGAAAGTTTTTTGAATCATTTAAAGCGGACCCTTGGTTCTCTCAAAAAGCCATTTTTTGTACATTTAGCTCTGTATCTTTGAAATGGCTGGACCTGGCTTTGCCAAAAACTAATCACCACTTCTCCAAATCATTACAAATTTAGATCATTCAAATCCGATACTCCGTTCTCCCAAAAACTCGATTCCTATTTTATGTACTCTTTGCTCTTTATCTCCGTAACGGTTGGATCTGCCTTTACTAAAAACTACTCAGCACATCTCCCTATCAATAGGTATCGAATGTTTTTTTAACCATTCAAATCGGTTGATCCGTGCGCCCAAAAACGTGGACGAAAAAATGCGGACGTCTGAAATTCTGAGATATGCCAAAATGTTCAGAAACCTTCAAAACGTGAGGAAATGTAAAAAAATTTCAATTTCGATTTTTAAACGATTACAATAACCTTACCCCACGGGAAGTTAACTAGTGGTGTATGGCATCGTGCCTTAAGGCAAATTGCTGGAACTTTTCGTGCCAAATATTATTTTTTTTTTTAAATATTATTTTTTTTTTTAAATATTATTTTTTTTTCAAACTTTGAAAAAATTAGATTTTTGAGAAATTTTAAATTTTTGAAAAAAATTCACTTCATTGGAAATTGAATATTTTGGTGCATACAGTCGCACTATCGAAGCGCGTAAGCGCCGCCTCGCGGTCTTACTGACAAATGATGTTACGGAACCCATAGATACACACATACATTGTTACACGTTATTAAAACCCTTACGGGACGAAACCGATTTCAAAACAATCTAATGTACCGGCATCGGCTGTAAACTTGATTTCATTGTGTATGTTATGCAATTCGTTTGACAAAAATTTGTGGTCATTGAAGGACACACTTTACTAACTTACCGCAGGGCTTAACTTATAGTAATCGCAAAAAAATCGAAAATGAAAATGTTAATATATCTTTACGTTTCAGAGGTTTCTGAATATTTTGGCATACCTTAAAAAAATTGATGTATGTGTGTGTGTGTGCGGATGCAAATTTTCGTCGACGATTTTGGGAACACCGATCAACCGATTTAAATAATTCAAATAGCATTCGATTCGTATTGATAAGGAGTCGTGCTGATTAGTTTTTTGCACAGGCAGGTCTAGCCGTTTCGAAGATACGGGGCAGAAAGTGCCAAAAACGGTAACACAGTTTTTAAGAGAACGGGGCGCCGATTTTAATAATTTAAAAAACTTTACTTGTATTGACAAAATAAACAACTCGTAAATTTTTTCGGAAGGCGGGTCCAGCGGTTATGGACTCTCAATAAAAAATAAGTTAAAAAAATGTCATTTTTGGCGGTCAAACAATTATTGATTATTTTCATTCTTCGAATGTTTAATTACAGTACGGGAAGTTCTAGCAATTTGTTTTAAGGCACAAGGTTTTGGACAGATAAAAAATACTTTTAAAATAACTAATAATTATTTTTGAAATACAATACTGTATATCCCTGATGTATGTAATCTATTCAACGTTTCGATGCAAATTGAGCGATTTGTTTACAAAATGGTCTGTGCCTCATAGGTAGCCTAACACAGTACGTTTAGTATTTTACGAATAATATTTTAGACCAGTAAAAGGTCATCCATTTATACAAAATCATTGAAATTCAATCGTAAATATAATTCATCAATAAATATAAATTTAAGATTAGGATTGAAGGACGAAAATATATCGAAAAGTTAATATATACCGATGCTGATAAAAATAGGAAAATATGTTAAAATTATGTATATTTTTAATTTTATTATGTTATCGATAAAACATCAAATCAGCAAATGTAAAAATAAATATTGCAGATTTTTTAAAAAATAGTAAAGTTTAAATAAAATAAAATTAAAAGGCATTTTTACTTTGATGACAAGAAATATTTTAGTCTCTGAAAACTTGGAACTGTATATATATATTTATTTTTGACTGAAATGATAGAAAACAATTACAATATTATATTATTGATTATTTAAACATTTATTATATACAAATAAACAAAGCAACAGATTTGTGACCAGAATATTTATTGCATAAATTGCAATTAATATCCCACAACTAATTCAATGTATTACTAAAAATACTTTTTCAATTAATTGAATAGTCAAACATATTCCTGAAAGAAAACCAACATTTCATAATAACAAATCGATTAAAGAATTGTTAATAATTTTAAATAAATAGTGTGTATTTCGAGATAAATTATAAAAGATTTTATAGTAATGAAAGAGTCAAATAAAATGTGTATGCAAAATATACAATAATTAATTAATATATATGTCTGAATATTTTATGAAATTTTTTTCGAAGTCCAGGAAAAGGCTATAATATAAGATGATGAGATATATAAGTAAAATAATAATGTCCTTTGATAAAAATTTATTGTCAAATTGAAAAGGACTTTGTGCAAACATTCTCGTTTGCTGTTGTGTGTAAAAACATAATGAAATGTTTCCACTTTTTTTCGGTGACACTTCCCCTGTCTGAAATATGAATATATATATATATATATATATATATATATAAGTAAGTAAATAATCAATAACTAATAATAAATTAATGCAATTCTTGGAAAATTATAAATTATAAAATTGAATGATGTTAAATTCACAATCACCTGTGTTATTATCAGAGATGCACTCTTCGGTGCTGCTTCAGTGTCTTTTTTTGCGTACACTGTTTATTACATGTTTCGCACTTGAAGGGTTTCTCGTCCATGTGTATCCTTTCATGCTGCGTAAGGTTCCATTTTTTCTTGAAGGCCTTGTTGCAAGTATTGCAACGATGAGGCCGTTCATTTGTATGGACCTTTTCATGTTCTTTTAGGGCGATCTTTTGCCTAAACCATCTATCACATGTTTCACATCTGAACCGTTTCTCGTCATTATGAATCTTTACAGGTTGTTCGCGGTTGCCATTCGAATGAACATTTTTATGCTTTAAGAAAGTCACCTTTTGTTTGAACTTCTTATTGCATAATTCGCATTCGAATGGACGCTCCCCTGTATGTATTCTTGCATGCCGTTTTAGGTTGAACTTACTTGTAAATGCTTTGTTGCATGTTTTACATTTAAACGAACGATCAACGGCATGTGTTCTTCGATGTTCTAACATTGTGATTTTACTAAAAAACCTTTCATTGCATATACTGCATTTGAAAGGCATATCTGCAGCATGAGTTTTTTTATGTCGTTTTAAAAAAACGAACTTCTGAAAGATTCATAGCAAATATCGCATTCAAAAGGACGATCTTTGCTATGGACCTTTTCGTGTCGTTTTAAAACGATTTTCTGCGAAAATTTTTTATGGCGTTTATTACATTTGAATGGTAGTTCTTCACGGTGAATTATTTTATGCCTAATTAAATTAAAGTTCGTTGTAAATTTGCTATTGCATATATTACATTCAAATGTACGTTGTTGTGTACCATGCACCTTTTGGTGATTCTGTAATGTCACTTTCTGCGAAAATGTTTTATTGCAAAGATTGCATTTAAAGGGTAATTCATTACCATGAATCACTTTATGCCTATTTAAGTTGAAATTTGTAGTATAGTTAACGCAAGTCCTATGAATGGATAATAAATATTAAAGCATATTTATTAATTAGTTTTTTTAATATGATATAATACTAACACTTACCTCTTCGGTATTACGATATGGTTGAAGGTCGAAGTACGATTCGAAAATGAAGAAGTTTCTTCTTGAACCATGACACTTCTACTTCGTTCAGGTTGGACGACATTAGAAATATATCTAATGGCGCCAAAATTTAAAATCATTGACTATATAGTTGAAGAAGGATAGATTTAAGCAGTTTTTTTCGAAATTTTTTCGCATAGCGCCTCTCCCCCCAGCTTTAATGAAAAAAAATCTTGCGCGCCCCTTAATTTTTCTCAACAATTTCATTTTATAAATACTCCACTGATATCGTAACAAAATGTTCCAGGAATATTAAATGTTTTCAGATAGATTATTATAAATACTGTAATATTGACTAATATTTATATGAATTATATAAACTGAATTACAAAGTTAAAATTATTCACTTAAAGTATATAAGTGAGCTTTAAAAATTTAGCTAGAATTAAAATCAAAATGTGAATTATTTTCGATATACAAAACAAATTGAAATGAAAAATTTTTTTTCCAAAAGCAATTGTTTTGTCAACATTAAAGAAACTTTTTTGAATCATTCTAATTAGACGTTTAGTTCTCTCAAAAACTGCAATTTTTTGCCCATTTAGTCTTGTATCTTCAAAACGGCTGGAGCTGCTCAATAGAATTGAATGTTTTTTGAACCATTCAAATCGGTTGATCCGCGCGCCCGAAAACGTGGACGAGTAATTGTATCCATACATACAGTGGCGGCGCTAGACCATTCGGAGGCGTCGGCGAAATCGTTTGCGAGACCCCCCTTTTTTCCAATTAAAGTTGACTAACTAAACTTTTATAGATTTTAATCAATTGGTTTTTGAACTTATCAAATTGGTTGATTTGTGTTTACGAAATCGTCACCGAAAATTTGTATCCGCGCATATATACATACATATGCTTATTTATCAGGTTTGATCAGCTTAATGATGGCACGCACTTATTATAAAAATGTACAAAATAAATATGTTACCCTACTTAACATTTTTGATTTTTTTTGAAAATGTTTGAATTAAAAAAAAAAATCCCTACTCTGGGTTACTTAAAGGCATTTTCTTGATTTTATTTAAAGGCTTTTTCTTATCAACTAATTTTTTGCAATTCCTGCGATTACTTTATATAAGCTGGTTTTAATATCTTGTTTTATTTTTCTTCTTCTCCAACTTTGATCCTTTTTATACTGTATAAGATGACACACATACATCCATTTTTCTTAAGGTATGCCAAAATTTTTAGAAACCTTCGTAACGAAAAGATGTATGAAAATGTGCATTCTCGATTTTTTGCGATTACTATAACTTACCCTACGGGAAGTTAATAAAAGCCTATGCAATTGAAAACCATAACCGTTTGTCCCGCGAGTACCGTCAATGCATATCTCGTCTGTACCAAATTCCAATAACATTTGCGCCTGCACGTTTTTTTAAATTACTAAAATAAATTCATCGTTTCCAAACCCATAATTACTTATGTTAATTTCTTTAAAAAATAGAGCTTTGAATGTTTTCTTTTTCTGGTTCTCCTTAACCCTATCGGCTACACTTCTTGAATCATTTTTATTTCTAAAGGTATCATATGGTGGTAACACATGTCTTTTCATATTCTATAAATCTTTCTTCGTAATCATGGAAGCTCTCAGTGGTAGGGAATGCAATACCGATAAAAAATTTAATTACCGGTATTTCGATATTTTCGACTTTTAAAACCGGTAAACCGGTAAATTACCGGTAATAAGATTATTCTTAAAAAATGTAAACAAAATTGAATGTTACTTATACAAATATAAAAAAACAGACCTAATAAAGATAAAAAATAATAATAATAAAAACCAAAGAATAAAAGAACAATTGAACAACAAAACATTTATTTTTAATAATAATGTAACAAACTTGTCCTTGTTTGGCAACTAAATAATAATGCCACACAGAATTCACCTCGTTTCCTTTCTTATGTTCTTGAATTTTATATATTGAGTTCTGAATTCATACTTTTGATTAAAAAACAATTGTTTTAAAATTAATAATTTTCCACAAGCACGAAGTAAACAAACTTTCCTAAAATTACTTAAAACTTCGCTTATTGGAAAAACACTCCGCACTGAATTAAAAAAATATATTCTCAAATAATTAATTTAGTCAATTTATAATTTTGCACAAGCACAAATTTATCAAACTTCACTACAAAATTGTATCTACGCGTTGAAAAATAACTTTGCACTGAACTACTAATTTCTATTCTAAAACAATTATTTCACTAAATTAATATAACTAAACAACTTTCGATCTTAATTTGTATCTACGTACTGACAAAACAATTTGCAATGAACAAATGGCTGTGGAGTTGTATTAGACGATATTTCAATTGGCACTCTAGTAACTTCCACAAAGAAAAATAATTCCCCGAATTAATGCCTAAAGAAAATAGTAGTTTCCCGAATAAATTTAAATAAGTAAATACACTAAAAAAATAATGTTTCTCCGAGTTACTATATAACTAGTGCTAGAAAAGTCGAGACAAATTATCGATATCGAGTGCTGAAAAAATAATCGTTGCTAAAATAACAGTAACAAAAGTATTAATACTACTCAGTATTGACTATTGAGTACTTTTTATCAAAATCAATATTTTACACAAGTTATTTTGATATTAAATTAATATACGAAACTTTATTTAAAACAATATAATGATCCTATACTATACTCAAAATGCGACACTTTGTACGTGAAATATATTTAATTTTTTTTCTAAATTTTCAGGATTAAATTACAATCTGTTTTTTAATAAAAATACTTTCGATAATTATGATTAGCATGTATTAAGTTAGTATGTATTACCCACTAGTAAGCCCATGCCACTTTAAAAATCCGTTACATTTTTATATAAGATAAAATAACATCATTATTGATTAGTCCGTTCTATTTATTGAAATACGATATGAAGCCCTTTGAAAAGTAATAAATATTCAGTTTAATGACGAGTCGAGATAATATTTTGACACATGTTTATATAACACAACAGCGTGAAGTGATATTTCTTGTCAGCGATCATGGGATTTAAAACATGTACATATGTAACATGTATCCACAAGCGCCATGTAAAAATATCGAAAATACCGGTATTTTTAAGTTATTTACCGGTAAAAATACCGTCGAAAAATTAAGCGGTTTACCGGTAATTCGGTATACCGGTAAACCGGTATTGCATTCCCTACTCAGTGGTAATTAACTTCCCGTAGGGCAAGTTATAGTAATCGCAAAAAAATCGAAAATGAAAATTTTTGCATTTCTCGACGTTTCAAAGGTTTCTGAATATTTTGGCATACCTTAGAAAAAATGGATGTATGTGTGTGTGTGTGTGTATGCATGTATGTGTGTGTATGTATGTGCGGATACAAATTTTCGTCGACGATTTCGGGAACACGGATCAACCGATTTGAATAATTCAAAAAACATTCGATTCGTATTGATAAGGAGACGTGCTGATTAGTTTTTGGCAAAGGCAGGTCTAGCCGTTCCGGAGATACGGGGCAAAAAGTGCCGAAAACGGTAACTCAGTTTTTAACGGAGCGTCCAATGTGAATAATTCAAAAAACATTTCATTTGTATTGACAAGATGAAGACTTAATGAAATTTTCATGAAGGCAGGTCTAGCGGTTTCGGAGATATGGAGGAAAAAGTAAAAAAATGAGCCATTTGGCGGATAAAAATGATCATTAGACATATGCACATCCAATTATCAGATATTTTATAGAGATTTTAACAATAAGTATATTTTTTTTTTACATTTCTATGGGTTCCGTACCAATGCTTATGCGTTAGACGGCGGCGCGACACTTGCGAGCTTTGACATTTCGTCTCTATGCAGTTCAAGCAGTACGATTGCTTTGAAAAAAAGTTCAGAATTTCCAAAATATGTCAAAATGAAGAAAACATTTTTCTTTTCAAAAAAAAATTGTTTTAAAAAAAAAAAATTATTTTTCAAAAAAAAAAATTTTTTTTCAAAAAAAAAGTAATTTTTTGTCAAATTTATAGTTTCTCAAAAATCTAATTTTTTTGAAGTAAATTTTTTTCAAAAATGTTAATCGTTTTTAAAAAAATAATTTTTGGTACGGGAAGTTCCAGCAATTTGCCTTAAGGCACGATGCTTTAATTGCCTTAAGACAGAATTCCACTTACAGCTAGTTCTTTATTTAAACAAACTTCACGTTCGTAGTTTATAATAAAGTCATCATGTACGCCAGCTTTAATTTGATCTGGAAAAAATATATTACTAATGATAAAGAATTAATAACAATGTGATGATTGCATTTATGAAAATAAATTAAAAATACCTTTGATGTTTCTGATTAAATTTTGATCCAACCGCACATATTTTATCAAATTTTCATGTCCCACATGTGTTTTCCAGTAATCAGCCTCAACAGGTCCGTCATTATATACCTTGCACATAATTTGTGGGGGA